GTTCTAAAGCATTTTCCATGTGGTTTAGGAGACCTACTGATATTGACGCTTGAAAAGCGAGAAAAGTTTTCATATGGACAAATTTAACGGGTTTAGTCAAAGCTGGGGAAGCGAGCACTACTCCCGCTTCCAAAAATTAGCCGAAATCTCGGGATTTTTCGCTTTCTTGATCGAGGAATTTTACAGAAATTGGATTATTTAGACTGATTTTTTTGGTCAATTTCTCTTTGGTTTTCATTTATGCTCACTTGTTCTAAAGCATTTTCCATGTGGTTTAGTAGACCTTCTGATATTGACGCTCGAAAAGCGAGAAAAGTTTTCATATGGACAAATTTAACGGGTTTAGCCAAAACTGGGGAAGCGAGCACTACTCCCGCTTCCAAAAATTAGCCGAAATCTTGGGATTTTTCGCTTTCTTGATCGAGGAATTTTACAGAAATTGGGTTATTTAGACTGATTTTTTTGGTCAATTTCTCTTTGATTTTCATTTATCCTCAATTGTTCTAAAGCATTTTCCATGTGGTTTAGGAGACCTTCTGATATTGACGCTCGAAGCGCGAGAAATGTTTTCATATGGACAAATTTAACGGGTTTAGAGAAAACTGGGGAAGCGAGCACTACTCCCGCTTACAAAAATTTGCCGAAATCTCGGGATTTTTCGCTTTCTTGATCGAGGAATTTTACTGAAATTGGGTTATTTAGCTGAATAGGGATTATTTTGGTTATTAGCATTTTCCATGTGGTTTAGGAGACCTTCTGGTATCGACGCTTGAAAAGTTTTCATATGGACAAATTTAACGGGTTTAGCCAAAGCTGGGGAAGCGAGCACTGCTCCCCCTTTAACAAATCTGCCAATATCTCAGGTTTTTTCACTTTCTTGATCGCATAGCAATAGCGTACTTTAGCATAGTAGTCAAAATAAAATTGAAAAAAATTGATAAACCCAATCCAGAATTCACAAACTTTCGCGACGTTTCTCGTCGCATATAACACGCAACAATATCATAAAATAGAAGTCAATAAAATGGGACTAAAAGATTTATGTCTACATAGCAATCAGGGGAAAAGTAATGCCAAACTTTCCGAAAGCTGAATCGTGCCATCTGGAAAGAAAGAAAAACATTCTTTAGCATTGCAGAAACTTAGTGAAAAGTTTATTTATTTGAAACGTGCAGAGGAAATAAAGAGATAAAAAATGTCATCAACTTCAGTTGCTTCCCGAAAAACCAAACTCAGTTTAAACTAAATGATTTATATATTAGAATTAATTCTTACCAGCTTCCTGCAATCTGACGCCCCCACTCCCCCTTTTCTACCAATGAATCCCTAAAAAGTTCACACTACACTTGATCACACAACTAATCTAACCCTGCAAGCAGTATAAACGACCGTACTTGCTTTAGGGGATAGAATAATTCTAAATTTTCCATCTAAGAACGCAATCACCAAGACACAAAGAGCTGGAGACTGATTTCGTCCATTGCCTGTAATAAGCTGAATATTTAGTCACTTTAGGACACTTTTCCCAAAAAAACTCCTGCGATATCGACATTTTGCCGCAGTCCGTATTAACCGAACTGCAGAACCAACATGATATAACCATTTACTTGTTCGCCCTTCGGAGATGAGTCATTGCTTTGCCATTCAATTTCAATTTTTTCAGCGTTGGAGTTTTTATAGAAAGCGTCTGTTCGCACGGGAATATTTTCTGCACAGATTTCCGGTTCAAACTCGTTTGGATGGTTAATGCTGGTTGGTTTTTGGCTGACAAAGACACTTTGTCAATAATACGACGCATTTTATTCGATTTTTATGAAATTTTCACCCGTTTGATCCTAATATTTCGTGTAAAGGCTACCTTAGGGTTGTCAAAAAACGATTAGTCGTGCTGCTTTATATATGGAGCAGACTGGAAAGGGGCTCCATTAGAGCAATTTTAAGAATTACTTTTTCACTTTGTTACACGCATTTCCCTCCTTTGTTCTAAAGCATTTCCCATGTAGTTTAGTAGAGCTTTCGAGTATTCAGAGCCATTTTTATTAGGTCTGGACAATTGGTACCACCTCAGGTAGGTCCCGGCATGTAACCGCTCTCTAATTGGTCAGGTTTTTTCAAATTTTTATTGTCTTTTTGTTGCAGCCAATCAGTAAGAGTGGTTCGATCTGCCGAAGAAACCACACCACTGCTGTCTAGAAGATAACATCCACCACCCGTTTAACCAACCGATTGGACAATGTGAGACCGTCAAACGTGTACGTTTTCATTTGTCGATGGAAATAAAACAACGTATTTTTATACATAGGAAAAACGATTGAGTGTATATTTGCAAAACGCGAACATTCTACTTGTCGATTAATGTGCCTCGGATTTTCTTCACTTCTTGAGCGGCGATCACTTCGAGCTTTCGCTTGTTCATCCCCTTTCTGTCCAGTTGCTTCTCGATGATTCGGGCATTGTTTGCGTAACTGTCTGCCACTTCGCGCTATAAACATTGTAAATGCAATTAAGGGCGATGCATTTTTCGTTTTTATGTGATTAATACTAAGAGCAATTGTTGATTGACTTTGTGACGAACTTTAGTAGGTAAATAGTATGATAAAATAGTACCTAACTAGTATAAGATGCAGTTTCCTATGTTGAGTGTGGAAATAAACTCTAGACAAGCTCGGCCTGTTCAACTTACCGCCTCAATTTCATCCTCCTCCTCGTCGATGGTGGAAACCGTCACCGAACTGAACTTGCCCATGTTTTTCGTATGTTTAGTCACCATGATTTTCTTCGGCTTTTCAATCGCAACCTGGAAAAAAACCCACCTTTATTCCCCCTTCCAATAAAACCCAATCTGGATTCCTTACCTGGTTGTAAATGTCTGTAATTGGGCCCTCATTGGTCGATTTAATCAGCGATCCGCGAACTATGAAGCTGACCGGACTTTGCGGCTCGTGCTTGTAATAGAGAAGTAAACCGCACTTTTTGCACTTTGACCTGAAACATGAGAAACATGATTATCATTATGCCATTCAGAGGTGCATTGATTTAAATCCAGATGATCCGAAATGTACAGAGTGCTCGAGTATTGATGGTTTTTTCCCTTACCGGCGATTTTTTGAGGGCTTTTTCCAAAAGACACCAGTCTAAATTGGAAGCCATTGAGTTTAGATTATTTCTTAAATGCGATTTTTTGCAGAAAATCGGCGAAGTGTGAAGAGTTAAACGAAATATTTTTATTCTTAGTTTTATTGATTTCCCAACCCCCAAGATTAGCTAAATTTAGTACACAGGCAGGTGGAATCCAATCGTGTTGGGTTTTTGACAAAAGAATCCCTTGACACCTTTTTGCCTTTTTCTTAACCTGCTGGCGCTTTTGAAAGTCGATTAAATGTAGCCAATTTTTGGCCTCTTGAAGTTTTTTGCTCCGATGCAAGGTTTTAGCGAAAAAGGCGCAAATATACGAAGGAAAAATGCCTCTTGGTCACGGCTGGCTCAATAAACAAATAAATGTGATTGTTTTGTGGCAGTTGAGGTTATTAACTTTTCACTGTTTTTTCGGCAATTCCAGGGTGGAAATGAACGATTTCAGCAGGAAAACAGCAACTAATGGACTTACCTATACTGTTTTTCAATGCCTGCAGGTCTTTTAATATAAATGGGTTCGTCTGTATCGCAAGTGATCTTATGTGCGTGGCTGGTCCCATCCAAAACTCTGGCCCCATCGCGTTTCCTTAATGGGAGCCTTTCCATAGAACAATCTGGAAAGAACAGCCTGATTTCCACAGCTCCAAGCCCTGTTTTGGTAAGTGCAACTTACCTAAAATTAGCGTCATTTGGCCGCACAGGCAGTAGTAGATATGTAGGGGCTTTTCGTCTCCATATTCCTCTTGATCTTTGGTGTCCGAACACGCAATGCTTCTTGAAACCACTTTAGGCATGCTGATTTACAGCTAAAGTAAATCTGCTAGATAGCTAATATAACCTCAATAAACAACTTGCTAGAATTACCTATAATCTATAGGCCTAAAAATAGTGTGCAGTTTATTACCTGCAGGCACTGATTCAATGCTGTCAAGCGCACTCAATTTTGTTTGATAATTTAATGTTTAAATGGCTAAAAAAGTGAGGATGTCAACAATTTTATTTAGTTTATTTTGACAACTTGCTAAAAAGAGAAACCACGTGGTCGTGTGTTAATGTTAAAGAGAGATACAATAGGAGACTTGCCCGAGAACAATTCAAGGGAACAGAGAAGCAAAATCGCAGTTTGCTAACAGCAAACAGAGATGCAGAACATCAACAAATAGATAATTGAGTAGATTCTTGACTAATGACGGTGGCAGTTGAATATTGAGGTTAATTGTTTTGAGTATATGTTTACTGTTTACCTGCAAAGAATCTTACCGATCGTTGCTTATTTGCCTATCTTGGTAAGTCCTTAGTAAGCCCCTTCACGCAGTTGCCGCTCTTGAATAGCTAAAGTTTTGTTCATAGCACGAAAAATGTAAAACTCGTTTTTAGTCATGATGAATCATTACTACAGGGTTAATCACTGCTATTTTGAACCCAAAAAGTCCTGTTTTTACGAAAAAGTCGCCTAAAACTAACTGATACGTCTATCGTTTGCGTCAGTCGAAAGACATTCTAAGTTGTTTTTTCAATATTCATGCCTCTGAATTGAACCTTATAGTTAACATGGCTGGAGATCTAAGAAAAGTGTCCGATGACATTAAATTCGTGGAAGAATTTGAGCTGGACAAAAGCGAAGGGCTAAACGGCCTGATACTCAATGAGCTCTATCTGCCCAAAGAGCTTCTGTTGGAAATTCTGTCCAATTTACGCGCCCAAGATGTAATGAAATGTTCATTAGTATGTAAAACCTGGTTCAATCTGACCAGGTCCACCGCATTGTGGAAATCCATCTACTTTAAGCAGGAACAACGCAAGAAAGTTCCTGTGAGTATTAATTAACTAACTCTATCTGAAAAGAGCCCCTCAAATGGTTTTGAGTGAAAATGGCATTCTTCATCCAGTCTGCGAGCTAAAATCAAAGTAACATTCCAGAACCTTCCTTGGTATGTGTTTTATTGCCATTTGTCGAGCGATTATTTTCGAAATGTGATCAAAAATGGCAATGGCGAGCTCCTGTTCAAGCACTGGGAGATTCTGAGAAATCAGGGCGACAAATTTGGAGTGGAAAAAGTGCCTACAGGCTCCGATCCGCTGCCTGCCGACATTCCAGAATTCCATGGACAAACCAGCTGTTTTGTCACATCGTATGAATACTGTATTAAATACCAGGTAATAGTTGCAAAAGACACAGTTTCGGGTTTTTGTCTTGTGTAAATACTGGGATGTTTAGTTTTCTATTCCAGTAAAATTTGCCTGTTTTTCCACGCCGAGGGTAAAAGGTCGTGAAGTAATATTTGCCTACCTGCGGACTTTTGACCCTTTCAGGGGTTTAATTGTTATCGATTATCCCTTCGACCGGAACGACCGGCAATTAGCATTTCGGATTCTGAGAAAATTTGCCACAAATGACTGAATTGGAAATTCCCAAACTTGTCCTTATCTATAGTTAACAAAGCCGAATAGGTACCTGACCAATAAAACCATGGAACGTCTAAATAAGGTTTTATTGAGTTTCGTTGGGCGATAAGAATATTTAGTGGGCACAATTTCGGTTTTGGGGGCTGGCAGGTTCGAAGGATTTGCGCTTTCCTTTGTACAGGGTGTCCCGTAAGCACATGATCAAAGGGATACTGCGATATTATTTGCATCTAAAGAAGTCGATCTGATCTAACTTTTGTTAACAAAAAATGTCTGGCTCCTCTGCTCTTGATGGTCAAAGTTCTTAAAAAAAAATGATCGTTTTTGATGAATGCTACAAGATTTTACAAAGAGCACAAAATTGTCAATAAATGATTAGTGCATCAACCAAAAAAAATGAGTTGATTTCATCCACCAAATAAAAAGTTCTGGTAGTTTCTGTACCACGACACGATTGTTCCATCGAAATATGAGTCTTACATAAGAACAAATTCTCAGCGAGTTTTACCAAAATACATCATACCATTCTCCTGATATTTGAAAAAAGATAAAGTCTTAAAATTTGACCATCCATAGCAGCGGAGCCATACATTTTTTGTTAATAAAAGTTAGGTCAGATCGTCTTCTTTTGATCCAAAGAATATCGCAGTGCCCTTATGATCATGTGCTTACGGGACACCCTGTATATATCGTTTGATTAGAAATTAATCTGTATCTTCGGTTAACGATCGTAATGGCTCCAAAACCGCTTTTAAACATCGATTTTTAAATGCACAATTGTTTCAAAATTTGACCAAAAGTCGATTGAAACTGGTCGTTTGCGACAAAAAAACCCAAACCAAACTAACTATTTTCTGACAAAAATGTTCAAATGGCCTCGATACCGGTTAAACTTAGGTATATGATGGTATCATGAAATTTATTGGAAATTGTGAGTGGAATGCAAAACTGGAATAGTATACAGGGTGTTCCATTTGAAATGAGCAAGCTCATGCCTACTTCCGTTATAACCGGAGGTATGGGCATCTTGTAAATAATTAAGTCGCTTTACCTCAGTAAATTGCTCAATTTTCAAAATGTTTCTTATTAAAATGGGCAATATACAAGGTGTCTTGGAAGTACAAAATCGATAATGCGATGTTCTTTGGCTCAAAAGAAGACAATCAAACGTTCTGGATCGTCTTGGTATAAAACCCACCAAAACTTTTTCGTTGGTAACTGCAATCACTTCATTCCTTTTCTAGTGGATGCAAATAGTTTGTCGTTATTTTCGTGCTCTCGGTAAAATCTTGAAGCGTTCATAGTTTTTGCGCAAACAGGATTTTGATTTTCTATGCTTCATTGCCTCTATAAATGTCTTTGTTCATTGCACTGTGGCAGTTAAAACCCTCTGTATCCTGAAAAAGTATTTGTACCACTTGGATGGCTCTCCTAAGGCCAACTTTTCCGATAATGGAATACAAAAATCGCTTCCCTCGTTCCACCTGCGGTTGCTTGAATCTTATGAGAACCGCTTTTGTCTTCAGTTCCTATCGCGTCAATATCATTTTGGTGGAACGCAATTTTTCCATCTTGATTATTAGTGGATGCTTCATGTTCTTCCGGTTTCCATGTGTTCTGACTTCCTTTTCTTTATTTGTAGTTACATGATCCTGAAATGAAAAGAGCGATGAGCATGACGAGTGTTCCAAATAGTTGATTTATGCTTTTGCCTTCTCTGAACTTTTTTTTGGGAAAACCTTAACGATTTTCCGGGAAAAACGGAAGACTTTTATTTCCGTCGTCCCGAATTCGACGCCGGAAAACGTTTTTGTACAATTTCTTCAAATCGAAAAATTATATTGACATTTTTCGCAGAAAAGCCCTCCAGATTATCAGTACTCTTACTTGAAACGCTACAAAATAGAGCGTTTTTGCGTAGAAAGTAGAACAAGGAAAAATTCAGTCGATACTAAAAAACCAGTATTTTTAACAAATTTTTCAAAAAAAATATTATAAATGTTCCTCATTCTGTTCGTTTTTTGATCAAAAATAATTAGATTTTTGACCCAATTTCGATGCTGGGAAGGATTTTTAAACTTTTACGAAGCGACGAAGAAAACGAGTGTTCTAATAAAACTTGTTTTAAAATTTTGCGCGGAAGATACCTTAAGATCATTAGTATTTTTACTATACAAAACAAATACAGAACGAAAAATTCTGAAATTTTGAAGAAACTACAAATGTTATCCATAAAAGGCCCCTGAGGTAAATCTGAAAACAACTAAAAAATAAGTCATAGCGATTTTTTGTGTTTTCTTTTAAAGAAGAACTTTTCATGACTCCATCTGGTCGACTCTTGGAGCCATTGGTTGTGTTCCTTTGTCTGTTCAGGTTGCTAATGTGGAAACTTTCGAACATTTCCTCCGAGTTGATTCTGAAGAGTGCGTTATTTGGAAATTAATTAAAAAGGTATTTTTACAAAAAACGCTCCTGTGTTGAAACTCGGGCTCTGCTCTATCTGAACTTTTAAGCGACTGGCTGCACCAGGCAAGTTCCGAAGTGTAAAACACTATTAAACTGATGCTGAAGAGTGACTTTTATCAGCATTTTTAGCTCCCAAGAAGCATTTCTGTTGCATGTGCCATTCTACTTGGAAAAAATCCGCTGCTCCATTTGATTGGGTTTTGAAGCTGTTTGAGTATGTTCGTGTTGCAGATTTTCTGAGGGCTTTTTCTAGAGTTTGCGTTCTTTTAGAGCTGAAACCACTCAATCTAGTTGAGTACCTTTGTTGTTTTCCCTACGATTCTGCATGTTGTCTATTACATATACAGTGAGTAGAGTCGAAATGATAAATTCCGGCAACAGTGCGCCTTACCCTTTACGCAAAATTGCATATCAGGCCCTTCAGAGAATTGCTCTTATCTCGTTGGATTGACCATAGAATTGTGTAAACAATCCCCACGGGTGGTCACTTTTTCTTCAAGATAAAAGAGGCCACTTCTCAAAGTCAGAGAAGGGTTGGATCAGTTCACAATGAATTCTAAGAAAAGTATCGACTCATACACTAATAAAGCAGCCAAATTCTGCCCTTTTCACAACTTTCAATAATAAAGGTCGAAAGATACGAAACTCAGAGAAACGAGCCCTGATCTTACTCTAGATTGAAATTTGGAAAAAATTGTCGCATTCAGGCAACTGTGCGAATATGGATGGGATAAAATATGCAAATAGTGAAATTGTTGTCTTGGGGATTCAGGCTGGCCAGTGAAAAGAAACAAACTCACATTAGAAAAGTGAATGCAACTCGATCAAGTTGCGCTCTTGACCTCTCGCTTATCTCTTCGATAGCAAACAAGTTTTAATGCGTTTGCACGGCACTGGTTTTGAAGCAAAAAATGCTTAAGTTGGAGATAAGTTTTATATTGTTGAGACGGATTCATTTTTTTACAAACTTCTTGTTTTGGGTATTTCGACTCAAAAATTTTTGGCTTCAGAATTTCCTCACGTCTTTTATTATAGATTTATAAATAGTGCTCCTATTTCGCAATAAGAAACTATATATATGCCGAAAAACTTGTTCTATCTAAACGTTTAAATTTTTCAATTACACCAAAAGCCGTTCCAAAGCTTGATTTTATTTCGAGTTTAGAAGAAACAACGCAAAATTTACCTGAAGAACAACAGGAAAAATTTCGCATAAGATCAAAAATAATTCTAGAAAAAACTTTCAAAATTAAACAAAACAGAACAAAAAGCATTAATGTCTTTAAAAAAAGATAAAACAATTAAACTTTTGCCTGCTGATAAAGGTAATGCGACCGTTATCATGGATTATAATATATACGACCAAAAAATTAATGAACTTTTAAATGACAAAAGTAATTCAAAATTAAACAAAAATCCAACAGAAAGTTTTGAAAGACAAATTTATATCACTTTAAAAAAATTAAACATGAATTCACAGATTACGTTATATCCAAATTAACACCACATTTTTACGGAGTTTCAAAAATGCATACAGCTAATATTCCTTTACGACCACTAGTTAGTAGTATAAATTCACCTACACATCCCTTAGCCAAATATATTTTAAACATTTTAAATCCCCTAATAAGTAACACAACTTAAAAATGCTGAACATTTCTTACAAAAATTATCAGACATAGACATAAATCCAAATCATATTCCAGTAAGTTTTGATGTTGTTAGTCTATTCACTAACGTTCCTGTTGATAAAACCTAAAAATATCATCAAACAAAAATTACAAAATAATACCGATCTTAAAGCATTAACACCATTATTGAACTTTTAACAGTATGTGTAAAGTCAACTTATTTTCAATATAATGACAGTTTTTATCAGCAAAATTTTGGAATGACTATGGGGTCACCACTATCCCCATTTTTCAATAATTTATTTATGGAAAATTTTAAATTAACTTTCATTAATAATTACAAAGTTAAACCAATAATTTGGTGGCGTTATATTGATGGCGTATTCTCCATTTACAGTCATGGCGAACAAAAACTTGATGAATTTTTATCTTATCTGAATAATAAAGAACCAACAATTAAATTCACTATTAAAAAAGAACAAAATCACCAAATTTCGATATACTGATTCAGAATTTCGAAACCTTGGTCTATAGAAAGCCTACTCATACTAACCGATATTTGAATTTCAACTCAAATCACCTGATAATGGTTAAAAAAGGTATCGTAAAATGTAATTTATAAAATTCCTTGCAAATGCAATAAATTTTATATAGGAGAAACCTGAAGACCATTACACAAAGAATCAAAGAACACCAATCATACATAAAAACAGAGAATATCATAAATCACATATTTGTCAACATTTGATAATTGCATTGATGCAACAGCATTTGATAATTGCCACAAAATTCGATGGAATAATTTTACAATTTTAACAAAAGAACAATCTTCAAAAAAACGAATTATCAGAGCGAATTTTCATATCCTATATTATCCTAGTATTGTTACACAATTTATTAACAGACTCTTTTTTAGGTTCTTTGAGGAGCACTATAATGTAATAAAAGACGTCGATATCTGTAATAAAAGACGAAAAGGAATTTTTGTCTTTTTCAAAGACAAAAATCTTTGAAGCGAAATACCCAACAAGAAGTTTGTAAAAAAAATGCTTCTAAATCAATGCCCTAATCAGGGCTCTGCACAACTTTAGAAGAAAATGCGCTTGTTCTATTTGAAATCATCTCTTTTCCCTATCTGCTGGAAAGCTGCAAATTCATTCTGGAAAGCGAGTTTTTAGTTGAAAACTTTTCCCAACCGTTCTGACGGCTTGAGCTTGGGCCCAATTGACTATTTTGGAGCCAAGCTCGACTAGTTTTGAGCCAAACGAACGTCGATTTTGATTTTCCTATTATTGAACATCTTGTATGGGACACCCTGTATAAGAGCAAAGCGCGTTTGCCACACTCACTTTTTCCCCTAAAGTACGGCGATGTTATTGTAGAAATTCGACGTCAGCTCGAAGCCACTGCTTAGTTACATAATTCAGAAATATCGGCCCATTCTGTACGCCAGCGAGTGGTATACAGGGCGATTTGATTGCAGTTGCATCTACGAATTGTCGTTGGCTTGTTTGCCGCCATGCGAAAAATCGGACCCGAAAAAGCTGCTAAAACATAAGCGATACCAGAAGTCAGTATCTGGAACGGCTGGATTAGACCACACGCATTGGGAGAAAGTAATGAGCTTTTGATAATTGGCGCATTTTGCAATCGCATTCACACATTTCCCACTTGTAGAAGGAACTGTTTTATGAGACTTATCCAGATGATTTGGCCACAATTGCGTTTATTCATCAGGGCAAGGACCAACAGTTCTGGAAAGGCCGCTATGGCAGTAAAATGGCTGGAGGCGTCTTAAAGTTTGTTTTCGAGTCAATTCAACCCTCGCCGGATGATTTGAGCACGGAAGAATTGTGATTTGTTTCGCTTTTTATTTAATGTTGATATTGTTCGCTTTAATCCTATTAAATTATTGCTGTTAAAATATGTTTAACCGTGGGGCCAAACTAACCAAAGGCTTTTGATTGTTGACAAGATTGTTTCAAGCTCAAAATTGTCTTTTGAGGCTCCAAAAAACCCTTAGGGCACAAACCCGATTTTTTCCATCCCGAACGAGCCCTCCTATCCAAAAATGTGATTTTTTATCAAACACTGCTGCTTTTTAGGTGCATCAAGTGCTGATTTTTCCAAACTCCCCATACGGTTTTCCATAAAATGTGAAAAACATTGCTTATAACAAAATTCTTAAATCAGCTCCAATCAATCGGGCATTTTAGAGAGCTTTTGCGTCCAAGTCAGTGTCGTGCCCGAAGGACTCGGCAGTTTCAACATTCCAAGCCATCCGGGTACGACTCTGATTAAGCAGTAAAAGTGATCAATCGGCAATTTTTGGGAGTTTTTTTGCGTCTCAACCATATATCGACGTCGTACTTTTGTAAGTGCATTTTATCCATTTAATTCTTGAGCCGCCAACCGTCAGACATCAATGTTCCTCCCAAGTAAATCGGATGTAGATATTTCTATTAAGGTAATTTTAATGTCTGACAAAACTTTCCCATGAAACACTGTTTAATGCGTTTAATATTGGATCCCTTCGAGCTCGAAGCGAATATCACACATTCTTGCGAAGATGCGAAAGAACATCGTTTAACAATGATGCTTCAGGTACATTTCTGAGGGAAAGTTTGAACGTTTACCCCTTTTCAACCCGATTTTGTCGGAATATGATGCAAGTTATGCGTTTTATTTTCCGGATTTTCTAAAATTAGTTTTGTCGTACTTGCTCCTAAATACTCACAAACCGGTCAGTTTTTTTCATTTTTCAACTCTTTGAAGAAGTTTCATTAGAAAATATACAAAACTTTGCTTTAAACACGGTATAAATTTGATCAGTTAGAACCTGCCTGGTGTTTCATGACGAATTCTCAAAGTTGGCAACGTTATTTCGCACACTCGGCCACTTGTGCACTTTTGTGTTCCTCAGGGCATTTCTCAACAACCCAGACAGATGTCGGAATGAAAGTTTCATTGGAAAATAGGGAAAACTTTGCTTTAAACACTGTATAACTTTTATCAATTTGAACCTGCGAGTTTTTTCTTGTCGAATTTTCAAATTTGGCAACGTTATGTCACACACTCGGCCACTTGTGCACTTTTGTGTTCCTCAGGGCATTTCTCAACAACCCATACAGATGTCGGAATGAAAGTTTCACTGGAAAAAAGGAAAACTTTGCTTTAAATACTGTATAACTTTTATCAGTTTGAACCTGCTAGTTTTTTCTTAGCGAATTGTCAAAGTTGGCAACGTTATTTCGCACACTCGGCCTCTTGTGCACTTTTGTGTTCCTCAGGGCAATTCTCAACAACCCAGACAGATGTCGGAATGAAAGTTTCATTGGAAAATAGGGAAAACTTTGCTTTAAACACTGTAAATTTCTTCTGTTTGAACCTGCGAGTTTTTTCTTGACGAATTCTCAAAGTTGGCAACGTTATGTTGCAAACTCAGCTCTTTGAACACTTTCGTGTTCCTCAGGGCATTTCTCGACAACCCAGGCAGATGTCGGAATTAAGGTTTCATTGGAAAATAGGGAAAACTTTGCTTTAAATACTGTATAACTTTTATCAGTTTGAACCTGCGAGTTTTTTCTTGTCGAATTTTCAAAGTTGGCAACGTTATGTC